TCCCCGTCCAGTTTGTAATCAAAAATAATCTGATTTAAGCAACATCTGTAACTTGTAATTGAACATTTAGGAAATATTCAAAGATATGTTATTAATTGCACACTAATGTAACAAAACGCCTAGCTTATTTTGTAAAATCTTGCAATCTTCACTAGAGCAGCGATTTAATCCTTTCGATGCATGTGGTAGTTAAAGGACGGGAGTATCTTTAGTGATTAATGGTGGTCTTTCCAGCTTATCTGAAAAAAAAACTGCTTTTGTTATCTACGTACAGTTATCAAAAATTACAGGAACACGTAAAGATTAAAATGATTACTTTATTAAGATATTAACTTACCTGGTGTAAATACAACCCACACTGATTGGCAGAAATTTTCACAAAGCTACATTAAAAATGAAGTGAGTAACGGATACACGAAAAAGGTCCAGTGGTTGAGAACCAAGTGGAATTCTAAAGCTTCACTGCGAAGAGCAATAAACATAAATACTGAAAAAAGGGAAAGTCCGACTGTACGCCCTAAACGTCTGGTGGATAGTAAATACGGAAGTTGAGCATTATTTGTTCATTAGATGAAATAAAGTTAATAAAATTAAACATTAACCAGAGAAGTAAAAACGATCTGTCAAGTAAAAGAAAACGATGACCATAATATGTATCTAAATACTTATATTGCAGAGAATTTTCACACAGGAAAGTAGGTGTAGATCATATACTATTTCTCGTATAGGGTTTCTATTAATGATTATAAGGTCCCAGTAGGTCATGTAAACGTGCCGCCTCTTCAATTTGAACTGTACTAAATGCCCAAGGACGCATGACAAAAACCACACGCATGTGTATAATTGGTTGCCTAAATGCTTCATATCTTTAAAAAATAAAATTAATTCGTTACAATAAAAAGAAACAAATTTAATGCGGTTAAACATCACAGTAAATGTGGAAAATGTTCACCATTTTGTTCATGGGCCACTGTTCAATTTTATGTTGCAACAGAAACTCCAGACTGCAGAGGAAATTTTGTCAAATTTGTTTTCGGATTATGCTCAAGTCGTCTGAAATCATCAATAACTTCCTCAGATACCTACTCAACGTCTTCCCCGAGATTTCTCTTTGTTGACACTGCCAGTTTGAACAAATCTGTTGATTACATCTTTAATGTGAGCCTCTAACGATGTTTCTTTAATTATTAAATCACGGTATTTGGCCAGGTATTCTTGCTTACAAGCGGTTACAGACTACACCCACTCTTCGTTTACGAAGTCCCATTGCGATTACAAGACATATCAATGAAAATATCTTGTTCAGCAGAATAAACCACTTTCACAGTGTTCGCTTCCTAGCACCAAAACAAAAGTTTGTAGGGACCACCAAGAGTTTTGAAAACGACTGTTTTGTTGTTTTGAGCTTCGATCAACGAGAATTACTGTAATTCACACTTGAAAAACCTTAAAACAATGAAAACGACGACTTTAAATGACAGGTTGCAAATGTCATTAATGATTAGTGAGAATCAGAGACTTTAAATACGTATAGACCGGCTATGCTATGTGGCCTAAAACTTGAAGCCGGTAGTCGCCATATTGCTTACTACCAAAATCGCGCCAAATATGTATAAAATCTCAACAATTTCAAAGTTATAAAAACACGACTCTTACAACTTAATTTATTAAATACTATCGTAACAAACGCGACACGATTGGTATTGTATACCAGAGCTAGGTGCAATAATAGCCACACTCAGCACCCAACAAACAGACGTTGCTATTTCTGTTAACGAAAACTCGAAAACTGAAAATTAAGATAGTTCCGGTTATAGGTTAAGTTGGGTCAGAGTTGACAGGTTGACAGAAAGGGACCAGCAATGGCGGCGTTTCATGTGCACGCAACTGCTTCAACAAAATACACTAGAATTTAAGGATGATAACTGGTCTATACAAATTTAAAGTCTCTGGTGAGAACTGTCATAGTGAGGCATAATTTCAGACTGTATTCCGAGAAAGGGAAAATATATAAAAAGTAACACTACCGCCCCTCGTTCTTCAAACATATTCCTCGTAATGTAAAAACCCTAATAACGTTACTTGTATCGTAAACTACTATTAAAGATGATGTTGGGATAGGTATGGATTGTACATTATTGTCAGTAAAGGTGCACTCTTTACGGCCATGCTTTATATTGTAAGTAAATTAAGATATTTACTTTGCTTCTAGCAATGTTAAAGAAGATATAATATCTATCATTTGTTTGAAGAATTTTATTATTCCTCAATAACAAGAAATATTTACTGCGGGTGTTATGGTATTGAAAACGCAAATATATACCAGTAAAATTCAAAGTTTTGAGAACTACTAATTATAACATTTAGATTAATCTAACAATTTTCAAAAAAATGTGCTGAGGTTGACATTTTTGTGGAATTGTCCATATCTGCTTTCGTTTTTTAATTTGTTTTTTTTTGTGTTGCTTTTGTTGCTGATCAATAGCACCCAATGAGGTATGGATTTTGAGATTTTTGTTCATATTTTGCATTAGAATTAATAAAATGATAAAATATGTGGTTTCATTCTTCGAGCTTATTTCAAAATTCTATTTATCTACAATTGTTCCGTTTTGACAGTGACGGCTTAGACAGAGGTTAGAAAATAATATCTCATCACTAGCCTTAATTAGACGGGAAACAGTGAAAGCTCGTCAATTAACTACCACTACATGCACTTCATAGGCGTCTGAATCTGAAAGATTGCATCACGATCGGTTCGGCCATGCGGCTCTGTGCACGAGTGGTGGGAGTCAAAAACTTTAATTCGCCTATGATTACGTCATCACCAATGCATTCTATCATTAAATTGTAATTAAATTGTAGTTTTTCATGTTACCTGTCAGATGAGACATTTTTTAATTCTGATCATAAACTATATGCATGAAGTCTCTTAATGTTCCGTTTTAAAAAGAAAAGTTTCCATAAAAAATAAAATTATAAATAGGTCTATAGATTGATATATACTTCCCATGATACAATAATATACTTCCTGAGCGTAAGCAAAGGAAGTATTGTAATCGAGTCCGTCGGCCGAATCTCTACTTTTACGTTTTGTGGACTTTTTATGACCCCTAGAGTACGAAGAAATACGACTCCCGTTTGCGTATGTCTGTCTGTCCGTCCGTCTGCCGTCCCGGATTTTTATTAGACAATCTCTGAAAGTACTGGGCCGATTGTTGTCAAATTTTGTATTTATATTAGGAATATCATATAGATGGTAAAACGCTCACCAAAATTTGTCTAATCATCCCCACCAATAATGTGATGACGTCACTTCAAAATTGCATATAGTAAATGGATTTTAAAATTGTATGAAATAACATAGTTCTACACATGTAGTTCATGATTCCGTATTGAGTTTTTACTTGAAACGTGCAAATTTTTGGAAAAAAAAAACAAAATTATGAAACAACATTTTGCAATTTAATGGTGAATCTGCAAAACTGAATGCTTTGAAATCGTGAAGATGTTTTAAAGTTATCATAAGCATGGTAAATTTTTGATCAAAATGTATTTGTTCATGCCCCCTAAAAAATTGATGATTTCACCTCAAAATTTTGCTGAATAAATCCCATCTTAAATGTGCAAAGTATGATGAGTCAATACTTGTGATTTATCACTGCATTAATATTTTTTAGATTTGCTTGTTCGGGGTGGCTCAAAAAAATTAATGACAGAGTTAATTTGTTTTATTGATTAAATCAAGAATTGTAAAACTGAAATCTTGCAGACGTTTCGAAGTTATTGTAAGCATGGCAACTTTTTTACTTTTACTTTCATATTAATACATAATATTTATTTTGACTCACAAGGATTATCATAAAAAATAAAAATTCGCAAAATCAAATCTTATAAGTCAATCAAAAAGTTGGATTACATTTACTTTACTTCAAGAGCGAGGGAAGTTCTGTCGAAATAAGCTTCGACCAATCTTTTTATTGTTTAAACCGCCTTGTTCTTTACCAGCAGAGAATGTAATGCTCTTATAGTAGCTACAGCTCAGTGACAGATTCTCAGCGTCACAAATAAAATATGGGGATTTTTTGTTAATAATTTTCCCCCAAACGTAGACATAGCAAAGTTGGGCAACCAGTAAAACAAATAAAGGTAATTAGTATAAGGAAACAAAAATTATAAAAGCATCGCGCGTCATCTTGCAAGCAAAAGCCTAAATATAAGAGTAGGAGTTAGCGTAAATATGAAATTTTAAATTACAGAAATTTCTAACCAAATGTAGAAACTAAAATTTTAATAACCGTTCTTCTATTCTGTATTATTATATTCTAACATGGTGAGTTGAACTTTGTAAATCATGGGATAAAAGTAAACAATCTTGGAAAGACAATTTTCAGTTCGTTTCATCTCCAGTACTGATGATGAACCAAATTACTTCACCATTGCTTATCGATACTTTCGAAGCTAGGGGCGTCGTTAACTTGAGTGCATTGTCGTAAACGGTGTTTAGATTCAAAGAGGTTGGTGCCACAAATTTCACCGTATTATCCCTCCGTCAGTGACTATGTATTTGACATCTATACTCACTGCCTCCGTTCTTATTCCACCCTCCACGGTTCTGAAGCTACCTTCTTGTGATGCTGTTTTATCGGGGCCTGTTTTGACGGGGCTATTTAGTTCAGGTCATTTTCTACACTTTTTGTAGAAATTTCATCCAGGCAATGAGGCTTATAATTTTGTTACTGAAGATTAATCAATTTATAATAATTTTGACTTAAGAAACTTTCCGGATTCTTACATTACACTCCGGACCCCCATTTGTAGTGGATCAAAAGTACTGTTTAACGTTTTAAATAGTTATAAGCATGAACGTATGAAATTTGCGTTTAATGTAAAAAATCACCAAGAAAGTAATAGATGTTTTTACCCGTCAGTATGCTTTTGTTTTCTATGTATATGTATATATTAGCTATCTTTCCGATACATGTCTTTTTTATTTATAGTTAATCGAACACCACGCTTTTCAACCTGATATTATTGAAAAATTGGAGCAAATGAGTCAACAAATCAGAGGTCTAGAAAAGATGCTATCAACCGCCAGAAAAGAAATTCAGACATATCAAAGTATGCTGGAACAATCTCAGTCACAATATCTCGTCGTGGAAAGAAAATACATGAAGACAAAACAGATACTTCGAGAATATCAGAATCGTGAGTTAGACTTGATGCACAGAGAAGATTATTATCAGCAGTTGTTGCAAGAAAAGGACACAGAATATAATGCGTTGGTAAAAAATTTGAAGGATCGTATTATCATTCTAGAGCAAGATGTGTTGGAAACCCGACAAGAGGCTGGGTTACCCTGCGTTCTTCCACAAGATCATGCAAATATAAAGCAACGTATTGCGCAGGTTTTAGAAAAAGGTCCACCCAATATTTTAATACCAGAAATAAGTAACAATTTATCAGATTTAGAAATATCTGATCCAAGTCCAGATGAGGATAAAACAGCTACAGTTGAAAGAAAACTTCCACTTAAGGAAGAGTTAGATAGTGTTGTACCACAACATGAATTACTTGATATTTCAGCCAATAAGCGTAAAGCAGAATTAGCTACTAGAGGAGCCCTTGCTAATAGACAATTGCCTAGTACGAAAAAGGGTTCGTTAAGTAATAGTAGCAGCTCCGATTATGGGTTAGACGAAAGCTTCAATTCCGGGGATGAACTGAACATCTATGCACAACCTCAGGATTCGTGCTATTGCGGTGCCAAAGAAAAACGGTCTACTTGTACTTCAACAGGACGTTCAAGGTACTAGCTCTTGTGTTGACACTGTCCGTTCGCAAAGTTTTTACAAAGACTTAAAAAAATAACAATATTGTATATGCAGTGGATCCAGATACGGCATAATGATTTTGTTTTAACTCTATGGTGGTTCGTTCATTTAATACAGAATTTTTTTGAAAAACAAGTAAAACATCATTAAGGGTCTCTTTGTAAAAGCGTTGCTATGAAGTAAGTCACACGATTAAGCGATCATGTGATAAAATTTAATGTATCAAATTTCTCCGGGTGAACCCAACTCATTGAATGCCAGTTCATCAATTCGCAATTTACATACACCCATAATATATATAGCCATTTGTGATAATATGACAACTCATCGAATGGACATTTAATGCACTTACGTAAAAACGGATTTTGATGGTTTGTTTTGAGAACCAAAATATCTTATGTTTCCAAAAATTCCAATAACTAATAATCCAGGGAGCAAGAAATTCCACGTTTAGGAGTATGTTTGTAATGGGACACTAAAAATTTAAGATTACACCCACGCGTGTTGGTGACCATAAAAAGTTGTGTTATACATATTAGCAATGACTATCACAAGAGAGTGCACGAATGCGAAGTTTAAACTTTTTTTGTGACACAAGGAGGCATTCCCACAGTATTTGAAGGTCAGGAACGTGATCAGAAGATGTTGTGTGAACGTCATTCCATGAGTTGGATTTTATGTTACGGTTGTGTAGGTTTTGCGCGTATTGAACTGTCTTTAGACGAAAAGTCATTCAATGAGTTGGATACAACCCGGAATTCTCAACAAAAAATTTTAATTTTTGGTTGTCGTCCCCAGTGAACGTCGTACTACTTCATTGTAAATAATGATGAAGGGATAACAACCCGAAACCGATACGAATAACATAAATAAAATAGTGGACAGAAAGTGTTCTTTTTATTTACAATGATGAAATTTTGAGACGGACGTTTAGGTACAAATCATCAAGTGCTATTATTTTGCATGATTTTCTGAACTAGCCGTAGCTTTATTTATTGACAAAAAGAATTCAAATTTTGAAAAAAATTGTTCTATGTTGTAGTAGAAACTTTTTTTAAGTCGTCTTAAGTCGACTTACGATCTTCGGGAAGTCTGTTGTAATATGTAATTTACATATACTTAGAACCTCTTCGCAAATAAAGCAGTTTTAGTGTTTATTGTTTATTGTTGTTGCTTAATGGCCAACAAAGAAATTGAAATAGGCAATTTACAAAATAATTTAAACTTAAGACTAATGGGACAGAGTTAATACAAGTCAATGCAATTTAAAAATTTAAACCAGATTGTACCTTAAAAACAAAGAGAAATAATAAAACTCAATAAGTATGATTACAGGACAACGTTTTTCTAAAGAGATTCAAATTATAATAATTAAACAATCAATAGATGGAGATAGGTTAAGTAGGTCATCAATTACACAGGTTTACAAAAATCAAAAAAGTTTTTTGGACTGAATATCTATTTATCACTTCTACTGTATTTTCGCTCGCTGAATTCAAATTCGTGCTCAGTTGTTCTCCAGCACGTCTAGATTTTGTGACTGCGCAAGGTCACTAATCATTGGGCTAATCAAAAATTTCGTTAAAGCACTCGACAAAAATGATGCAGCCTTTAAATACTTACTAAAAATTTTTCCAACGTTATCTTATGCCAAAATAAAAGAAGGTCCGGACGTACGAAAACTGATTCAAGACAGCCAATTTACGAGATATTTGTCATCGTGCACAACTTTCTCGGTATTAACCAAAGTTCCGATTACAAAGAAATTGTTGCAAAATTATTGAAGGATTATAAACAAATTGCGGCTCGCATGTCTTTGAAGTTACATTTCCTTCATTCGCACCTAGATTTTTTTCCTGCTAACTTAGGCGCTACCAGTTATGAACAGGGCCAACGGCTACATCAAAATTTATATAGCATGGAGAAAAATTACCAAGGTTTTTGGGATGAAGGCATGATGAGCGATTTTTGCTGGATGTTGTTGCGTGAAACCGTTGGTCAAACGTATGCTCGACAAAGAAATACTGGACTGCACTTTCAATTTTAAAGATTTTTTGTAAGAAAACTGCTAAATATATTAAAATTTCATCAAAACTTGTCATATTCAATATCTCAAAAACTTGACGTGATGGGGACAAACGGATTGCAGAATCGTGTTCAGCGTGCAAAATTGGTCTAAGAACACTAATTGGTTGCTTTGTCCAAAAACTAGTGTAAACCTGTGTTATTAGGGTAAAAATAGTTCAAGGGCTCGATTATTTCTCCCACTCCTCATTAACCTTGCCAGTCCAGGGTCGCGCGATCGAACATGCAGCAATGAGCTAAGCGAAATAATAACATCGTGCGCTACTGAAGGAAAGTTAGTGGTGGGAGTCGCATGGCCTAAAACTGCATCCTTTTAATTATTAGTCTTGCAATTCTCATACAAGCAGAGTGAAATCCATAGTTAGTTCTTTGAAGCGCAGTAGAAAATCAATCATTACCTCTAGTAATATAATTAGGAAACCGAAAAAAAAATATATTAAAATTGGACAATCAAATTGATGATACAAAATTTTCTAACCGAAAAGAATATAAATTTCCTACAAAACTCAAATGATTCCAAACCTAGCAACTGAAAACGATCGTCGTGAGAAAGCTTATTTTTATAGATTTTAAGTTTAAATAAAATGAAATTTTTTGAAAATTTTCTTTGTGTTTTTTCCATACGCGCAACTTCACTTCTGCAATAATATACCGAACTAACGTGAAATAATTTGATGATTACCAATTACATTATTGAAATGTTCATGTGAACATGTGGCCCTTTTTATAAATCCAATTAATCTATACGCTCTTTTGCAAAGTGTTTTTCATACCGAAGGCTAGACAACGCGTTGGAAAGCTGTAGACTGCAGTTTCGATCTCGTTTGATCTCATCAGTACAGCACATTCCACCGATTGTCTAGCATCCATTGTGTTTCGCTTATGTGCCTAAGCTTAGTAAACATGTGTTAGTAAGATGTCAAGTGGGGCGACCTATATGTTTTCCCCTACGAAAGTGGCAACACCAGTGCAGGTTAGATGTAATTCAGCGTCCGGCGGGGCTTTTGTCCGTTACGTAGCTGTTTGCCTCCACTGGTTGGTTCCCCAAATAGCGCGAAAGTATGATTTTCCGGCACAGTGCGGAAAAACACAAGTCGCCATACTTTACATTTCAATATACGTTCTTTTTATGATACTTAAGTCCGAAATATTTGCAACTCTTTGAAGACTGATGTTACCAATAGAGGAATATTGATATTCGAGAGGATGTATTATCCATGCGAAAGTTATAATTTTACATTTATCGATATTTAAAGACATTAGTTTTGTTAATAATAAGTTAATGTTTATCCGATCAAACGCTTTGGAGAAATCGGTGTATACGGCATCAACTTGGTTACCACATTCTAACGCCTGGATAATAATATAGTTAGTATAAACGAAAAGATTACTAACCGTACTACGTTGGGGTATAAAACTATGCTAGTTTGTAACAACTGTATTTTTAGATATGGTTAAGAAACTATTAGTGATAATGGATTCTAACGCTTTAGACAATGGTGAAATGGAACAAATTTGGTATGTAGTTACACACATTTGTTTGTACCAGATTTAAATAGTGGCAAAATGTAAGAAATTTACCATTTATCTCGACAAATACCTCTTTTAAAGATGACTGTAAGAGGACAATGATAGGAACTGTAATAGTTAGGTTACAAAGTTTTGTAAAATAAGGTGGAATGACATCCGGAATTTTATGTAACGGAATTTCTACAGTTATCAACACTTATTTCTGGTGTCGTAGTGTTGATGAAACGATAAAATTGTAAGCATAGAAAGGTTTAATATAGCTGATGTATTAGAAGACTACGCATATAGCATCAGAATCTTAAATTTTTTAAAAAGTGATGTATATGATGTTAACGGACCAACATCAACATTTTATTTAACGTTTCGTCTTTTTTAGTAATCCGAAAACTCTCTTTGCGTAAAATGATGCACTTCAAACAGTAATATGCTGTCTGAATACTATTTACTACATTCATACACATGCAGAATAAGTATTAAGAAAATGGATGTCAACAATTTCTTTCACTGTGTGCTGGCATAGCAGAAAATTGTATTTTTGTTACAAACGTTTTCTACATTAGCGTCTTGATATAATATATAATATATATAATAAGTCTCTTGCCGTCTGATATCGATAGTTCAGATGTGGTCGGCAGAGGCGCTACATACCGAGGGATCTTAATGTGAGTCGATCTTAAGGGTCAGCTAAAGCAAATTTTTCCTTGGGAGGCAATAAAATTCGGTCATGACCAGTGCTTTGACGGGCCACTGTATTTAAAGAACCGGTCGGCTTAGCACCCAGCTGGACACACCAGCACTCACTGCACAATAATAAAACCGACCAGAATTGTTCAGAGGTCTGTTTGCAAAAATGAATTAGAATAATTAAAATATTACTTTGCAAGTGCCCAATTATGCTATTGGAGGCAAAGTAATAGCACTTCCCCAAAATTAAATAATAATAATAATAATATAAGTACTTATTATATTTATTGTTATCAAAGTACGTCTTTCAGCAGCTATTCTATTACTTATCACCACTGTATAAAACTTATTGTAGTCACTACTGTTTTTATAACTAATATTACACCACTATTACTATTGTACAACTATATTTGACTATAAAATCGTCACTATATCTATAATCTTATAGCACTATCTTTATGAAATTGACGATATCGAACAAACGCACTAGACTCGTTCGAAATCAGCTACAAATAAAAATTCGATGCTAACTGCAACAACTTTTAAACAAAAATTTGCATTGGTGGGAGATTTCAAAATATCTTATTGGCTACATGTAAATGTAAATTTTGGTTCCCCGATAATTACCTGCGGACGCAAATCTTTAATCTGTAACAAATATTCCTAAATACTTAGACGGGGGCGACAAGATAATGTAAATTTAAAAGTATGTCTGTAATTGCCTCTTATTTGGCGTTGTGACTTGCAGATTAAAGGGTGGACACTCCCATAAAATTTTATTGTCGGATTATGGGGGCTTAAAAGGATAGGTTCTATGGGCTAGCTGCTATGGATTTGAGTGGACCAGAAAAATGGCTAAGTTTGGTTGACCACAAATTTTAAATATTCTGCCCCTATTTACTCAATTATTTATTAAGATATTTTATTTCTGTAAAGTGCAATGGATTTTTTAATACAATTTCTACTAATGTACCTTTTTGAAAATTTAAAATTAATCCATAAATAGCGAAAAGCAGATAATCTCATACTCACACAATTTTAACGCGTTGTAGTTTTTTTTTGAGAACAAAATTTAAAAAACGGAAAAGCAGTCTCGGTAGAGTTTTTTACGCTCATTTCAACGGTGTGAAGTTTATTACAATCCGACGTATACTTTTGGCAAAAACTTGGGCAGAAGTTTACATGTATTTCCCTATGCTGAAATTATGCTTTAGCTCACCCTTAAAATGTGTGGCAAATAGAATAGTAACTTTTATGAAAGAGAAATATATCTCTGTCCTTCTTAGGCTCCGCGTTTTTGACAGCAGGTATTTTTTGGTTCCGGTATCGCGATCCTATTACTGTCATTTGGCTGTCAGTTTTCTTGCTGGTAACACGTTCTCCACGACTGTTTGCCGGTTGCCGATGACGCTTTTTTCTTGTATAGAGCTGGAGTTAGTTTTGTGACTGGAGTAGTGTTCTCTTCCGTCCGTTGACTGGATAATTCTGGTACAATCTGTCGTAACCTCAAATCGTAAACAGCAAATATTCTTTGACAGTTCCTACATTTGATAAAGAAAATTACTAGTCTCACGCTATCTTTGTCTAGCACATAGGTTAAGTTCCTCTTTGTCGAAGTCCGGGCACAGGCAGTTTGCCGTACTTTCTAAAAGTAAATAATGGTAAACAGTATAATAATAGATCTAGTGACTTTAGGGAATCTAGCCACAATATATCAGTACCGAAACTGTGGCAATAGGGTATTCCACTGCCACTTTGTACCGCTAGAGGCGCCACGTCTGTAAGGGCAAAATCACCAAAGAGTGTCAAATATAGTGACTTTCGTGTGGTAAAGTTGTACCTCTACATGTGGCGACTGTATTACTAGATATATTAACAAAAATTTTTATTCAAATCAAATAAAATGTAGAAAGACTGATTAATTCACAAAATACAAATGTCAATTTGATTGTTGCCAAACCTTTGGTTACAATTCCTGCCCCTTCGGTGGTGGCGCCATCTACTTTAGATTTGCGTGGAATACCCTATATTTGCGAAACGGGTGTAACTTGGGCAGCCCGTTCCCGCGAAACACGAAGATTCAAATATTTATATAATACTAATAATTGTACACAAAAATAGAAATGTGTGATACTAGTGATATTGACGTTTTTGTTACTTCCCGACCGTAAGCGGGTCCGTCGACCGACTATCTACTTTTACACTGTCTCGACCTTTCATGACCCCTAGAGTACGAAGAGATACGTCTCCGGTTTCCATCTATCTGACTGTCTGTCTGTCTGCTGTCCCAGATTCTTATTAGACAGATCTCCGAAAGTAGTGGACCGATTGTTGTCAAATTTTGTATTTATAAATAGGAATATCATGCAGATGGTAAAACGCTAACCAAAATTTGTATAATAATGTGATGACGTCACTTCAAAATTGTACAAAGTAAATGAGTTTTAAATTGTATAAAATAATATAGTCCTGCAGATGCAGTTTATGACTCCGAGTTGAGTTTTTACCGGAAACGTCCAGATTTTTGGGAAAAAAAACAAAATTATTAAAGAACATTTTAGAATTTAATTTTGAATGTGCAAAACTGAATGCTTTGAAATCTTGCGGATGTTTTAAAGTTATGATAAACGTAATAAATTTTAATCTTCTTTATACATAAAAGCCAATGTCCCGACTGACCTATCAATGCCCAGCCCAAACCGCTAATGCTAGAAAGTTGAAATTTGGAGAGAATGTTCATTTTATACCGGAGGCATCGTTTAAGAAGGGATTTCTCGAAATTCGTTCCCTGAATGGGTGAAAAGGGGTGATAAAATTTGTACAGGACCAATATGTCTACTGTAAAATTTACATCGTTACGTGAAACCTGGTACATTTTAATCTTCTTCAATACAAATAAGGAAATAGTATGTAATAGAGATGTACCGACTGTAGGTCTGGCCGACTAACCGACTAGCTGATTGTTCGGCCAGTAAAAACCGACTAGTCGGCCGACTGTTCGGCTTTGCTAAAACCGGTTTATAAATGCGACAGACAGTGTGTTTTTTTTTCTATTTCTCTGACTACCTTAAAAATTTGTTTTATTTTAATAAAAGGAATAACTAAAGTTCCTTTGTTTTCCAAAAAATGTGTTAAATTTTTTTGGATAATTTTAACATTTAATTTTTTTTAGTAACTCAGTACAAAAATTATGAATAACACAATTTAGTTTATACAATATTTGAACTAAGATTAAGTTGATCGCACATTTAACAAGGCCATTAGCGACGTCTGATTGGCGTAGAGTCGGTCACATGGTACTTTAACGCGGGGTTAAAAATTAAATCGCAATTAAATATTTAATTGAGGTTCTGTGAACCGAGTTTAATTGTTTTATATACTATTTTAATTTTAATAAAAAAAGCCGACCGATCGGCTGGTTAGCCGACCAGTCGCCGACTGCAGCCGACGATGAAAAACGGTCGAATAGTCGGCTTATCCGACCGGTCGGCCACTAGTCGGTACATCCCTGGTATGTAAGCATTTTCAGAGATTCGAACCCTAAGGGGGTGAAAAGTGGTGTCTACGTTTGGGCGCCTAAGTTTGTATAGGAACAATATTTCTACTATAAATTGAAATTTTTACGTGCAACTTGGTGTTAATATTCTTCCACACAAATAATGAAACCCGTCTTTAAGTATTTTCTAAAATTCAACCTCTAAGGGGGTGAAATGTGGAGGCTAAGTTTGTATGGGAAAATATTTCTATTGCATGTTCAAATTTTTACGAGAAACTTTTTATTATTTTTTATTAATGCTCTTCGACACAAATAATGAAACACGTATTTAAACATTTTCCGAGATTCAACCCCTAATAGGGTAAAAAAAGGCGTGGCTAAGTTTGTACTATGAGAAAAATATTTTTATGGTGGTGTTTACTTAAAACTTGGTATTAATGCTCTTCAGCACAAATAATAAACACATGTTTAAACATTTTTCCAGATTCAACCCCTAAGGAGGTGAAAGGTGGCTATATTTGTGTGGGGAAAATATTTGTATTGTAAATTTAAATTTTTACGTCAGACTTGGTATTAATTATGTCCAAGACAAATAATGAAATCCGTATTTAAGCATTTTCTGAGATTCATCCCCAAAGAGGGTGAAAAATGGTGACGAAGTTTGTATGGGAAAATATTTCTACTCTAAATTTTTACAAATGAACTTGGATTAATACTCTTCAACACAAATAATGAAATACGTATTTCAGGTTTTTTTCGAGATTCCACCCCTAACAAGATGAAAGGGGGGACAAAGTTTGTATGAGGAAAAATATTTTTATATCGAGTTTTACTAGAAACTTTGTATTAATGTCCTTCAGCACATTTTTTTACTTGAAGCTTGGTAATAATGCTCTTCAACACATCGAATCGTCTATGCGAGCGAAGCCGCGGGCGAAAAGCTACTCAAAATATATTTGCTTATCTCCAAAAAATTGGTGACGTCAGCTCAAAATTTTGCCGAATAAATCATATCTAAAATGTCCAAAATATGATGAGTCTATACTAGTGATTTATGATGCCATTCATATTTTTTGGATTTGCATATCGAGGGTGACTCAAAAAATTAATGAATGAATCTTAGAGATGTTTTAAAGTTACCACAAGCATGATAAATTTTTGATCAAAATGCATTTGCTCATCCCCCCTTAATAATTAATGACGGCACCCCAAAATTTTGCTGAATAAATCCTATCTAAAATGTACAAAATATGATGAGTCTGTACTTGTGATTTATCATTCCATTCATATTTTTTGGATTTGTATACACAGGTGACCCAAAAAAATTAATAAATGCGTGAATTTATTTTTTTGATTTAATCAGGAATTGCAAAACCGAATGCTTTGAAATCTTGGAGATCTTTTAAATTTATAAGCATGGTACAATTTTGATCAAAATGTATTTGTTCATCCCCCTTAAAAATTTGATGATGCCGCGGCAAAATTTTGCTGAAAAAATGCTATCTTAAATGTGTAAAGAAGATGATTCTATACTTGTAATTTATCACTGCATTAATATTTTTTATATATATGTGCTTATACTGGGTGTCTGAAAAAAATTAATGACTGACTCAATTAATTTTATTGATTAAATCAAGAATTGCAAAACTAAATACTTCTCTTGCAGACGTACTTGTGTTAAATTACAAGTACTATACAGGGTGTTCCTTTTATCTGTTTACGCCTGACAATTTTTGCATGGGCAACATATTATACACCTCAGAGACGACTTCGTCCAATTTATTTTTTTTTAATAAGCAATCATAGCAATCACAAAAAAATGACAAAGGTGTCAATGCCAAAGAATGACAAAATTGAAAAAATTAACACTCAATTTATTTTAAAATACCCTGCTACAAAAATGTAATAGGCATGCAGTCGTCACGTTTCCGACAGTGAGGGAAGTTCTGTCTAAACTCTTTAGACCAATTTTTTTAAAGAGCTGGATTTGTCGGATTATACTTGTAGCCTTCGACCAATTTTTTATTGATCAAATTAAGAACTTTATTTTTTATACAGGATGTTATTGAAAGGTACGTACAACAAAATTGACAGTTATTCGCGAAATCTGAGAAGTCGGAAAAACTTATTTTGTGTTATCAAAATTAACCCTTATCCAACCTTTTTAGACGCTACTGAAGGATAAATAAGTAAAATTAATTTATTTTAGTAAATCCTAGCAACTGTAATAATAAAACTATTGTCAAAACTAAATGTTGCTGTAGAAACGAAAGATGATCTTTTTATCAGAGGCGTACAACGAATGTGGACATAAATTTTAAAAATTTTTATCTCTAAAAGGAGAACACTTACCTGAACTTTTTTTACTTTTATAACTCATACTTCGAGACCAATTGCCGATTTTATTTTGTACGTACTTTTCAATAACACGCTATATTTGCTTATAAGGGTCACTCAAAAAAATGAATGAATTAGTCAATTTATTGTATTGAATAGACCAAGAATTGCGAAACTGAATACTTTGACATCTGGCAGACGTTTTAAAGTTATTGTAAGCATGGTAAATCTTAATCAAATATATCTGTTTATTCCCTCCAAAAAATTTATGACATCATCTCAAAATTTTGTCAAATAAATTCTACCCAAAGTGTGCAAAATATGATGAGTTTTTACTTGTGATTTATCAATGCATTCATATTTTTTAGATTTGCTTAAGAAGGTAGCCCAAAAAATTAATTAATGTGACAATTTATTTTATTGATGAAATCCGGGACGGCTCACTCTATTTTCCCAGAAAATTTTGGGAATACAATACTGTTATTTTAAGTATTACACTGCACCATTTCAAGTTGATATACGTGTCCTTGCAAAAATGAAGGTGACGTCATCACAAAATTGTGTAAAGAAAGAACTCAACTCGAATAAAATGTTGAATATGTTTCATTGTACTTCAGGAGCGAGGGAAGTTCTGTCGAAACAACTTTCGACCAATTTTTTGTAAATTTTAATTCATTCAAGCAAAGCATTTTTATTCAATTTTGACGTTTTAAACTGCGTCTATTAAATCTTTAGCAAGTCTGACAAATAAGTTATTATTCACAAGTGAATTGCGAAATTTTTAATTCACTCTTAAAATTTTTAAATCACTCAGAAAAATAAAAAACAGCTTCAGGAACATAAACATGATGCTTATTATTTTTAATAGTTTTCACAAGAATACAATTTGTTAACAATTTTCACTAAACGGTTGCTGCTACTAAATCAGGATTGTTTGGCAAATTTCTTTGGCTCTGTGAGGCGTTAATTTGGAAATTGTATAAATCCCACACCAATACAATTCCAAAATGCCGTTTCGGATACTATATATTACAGATTATTTCGATACAAGTCCACGAACCAACTGCAAGACAATATTTTTCTTGAAATGAAGAATTTGCCAAGTTGTTCTTTTGAACAAACTGCACGACATATCTTCCCACTATTCTGACCGCTTAAACAATCATTAAGCGATGTGAATTACCGAAAAGTCACCTGGAAACAACATACCTGTTTATGGTACGTTTGTGGATACTTACAATATATTCAAGTGAGAGTCAGCAATAAAGACGCGTGATCAGCGCGTGTTCAACTGCCTATTGGTTAAGGCAGGGTTTTTCCCAAGTCAGTTTTCCACTGTACCGATATTTCATTGTCGGTGCGTATCATTGTTGACTTATCCCTTGCTTTGTGTCGTCTCTTTGCTTCCATCCTTCGTGTTTTTGCTTGTTTTTATACTTGTAAGCGGTATCAGGTCGGACGTTGGAAACATTATTATGTCAAAATCAGAATCCAAAACTTCTGTACAGTGTAACACGGGCTAGGCGCAGTATTCTTACGCGCACTCGGCTCCAGAATGCATGCATCATGCAGGTGCCACGTGATCATTGACTCTTTCCTTTGAACAGAGTATAATACGAAAATCCTTACATCGCCATTGCTGCAAAGTTTATGTGAACTTTGCATATTCTTGTGAAGTGGTAGATTCTATATTAATTTTGTGCCATTTTAAGATCTCGAATTAAGATGTGATTTTTGGCGATTTAATGATGCCACATGAACATTTTACATTTTATACGGCGGCAATCGATGAAACATTTTGTGAGTTTTTTTCAATTAATGCACTGTAATCATTAACTGGTTTGCTGCTAAAAAACGAATTATTAAAAAATACCATTCCACCACCCATGTAAAGATTTTCCTCTTCGTTACCTGGATTCATTTTTTATTAGAGTTAGAATTTTTTACACACTAAAATTTAAAAATAAAACTTGAACCGCTCAACCACGTAGACTTCGATCTTATATCAGCTTTAACCAGTAGTTAGTTGACATTCACCCTGTAATTTTTTAGTAGTTTTTACATGTATCGTAAGTATCTATTACTTTGTTGTTAAAATAAATTTTACTTTTATCTTAAATGTTTTTAAGCTAATAACCCAACATCCCGTAATTAATAATATGACATTTGTTGTTGACAAAAGGATCACCGAAAGCCTTAAAATGAAAAAGAAACTACGTTCTTCGAGGTCGGAACACCTGTAGATACAGCTAGTGACCTTTTTATGTTATTCCGTAAGCTCCCCATGTATTTCTTAGGGTGCGTTTATGTTGGAGCATGAAGGAATATAAAGGAGGTAGGAGAGAGCTCAAATAAGTCGTCCCGCGATAAAATGCGTGAAAGCAATAAAAGGTGCTTCAATATGGCTGCCGCTTCAGTGGTGTATCGCAGTAGTACTTATAAGGGGCCTCAGATCTCAAAATCATATTCAATAAAATAGCTATTTTGAGTGGATAAAATTCGTTTATTCACGTGTATCATACAAGATTTTTTCCAATTTCGCAAAATTAAAAAAAAATATTGTTTAGCTAATCCACTTACATAAATATTAATTGTACTATTACTAATATGATGGACATTTAAAGAAGGTAAATTGCCTAAGTTGCCTGTACTTTCGTCACGGTCAAATTCAAAGGATGTTCCTGGCTTTTCACTAGGATTGTTTTACAGGAGGTGGACCATCACGCGTTGTAAATTTCAGTTGAATATGTTTACACATCCATAATCCATAGCAACGAAAATTTCAGTGGTACTGCGAATGTTTGGGTTTTTTTTTTACTTTATTCGTGTTGTCAATGACAGTGCGAATAAAGTGTTGTTATGAACATTTTATTCATCCTTTCGATTAAACTATTGTTTTAATAGCGAGATTTAACATACAAAATGAGCATTTTATTAGTAGAAATTGGAAAAAATATTTTTTTTTAGAATAGTTATCTAAAATTTGAATTTTATTCATACAAATTTATTTTGTGTAATATAATCAACAAAAAACCTAAATTCACATCAAAGTTCGAATTTGTGCTATGTACTTGTAGTAACCGTAATGATAGAAGTCTTGCATGAATGACGGTCATTTCCGGATTAGTGGTCAAATAATTTTATTAATAGGCAGTAAGAGAACTGTACTTTATAATTTGTGTAATAATTAATTTACAAATACTTACTAGATACTTAACAAATAAAAATCACACATTTTTAAGACATTAGTTATCCACTAAATTAAAAAATTTAATGTATACATGATTTAAGTAGCAAGGTTCGTAAGAGATAATAAGATGATTTAATAAAAGGTCACTTTTCTTCAAAATGAAATTTCCTAGATGAAGATAAAGGAAGTCTGTCCACAGTTTCTTTATTTCAGGTTTCTGAGGACACTTAAAAGTAATTCAAAAATATTCATTAATCCCTCTTGAATATTAAACGAAAAAATACGACCAACCTGTGAAACGTTAATTTTTCTCTGCCAATTGTTGACTTGGAACCACTCGTAAGTTTACAGAATTTGCAACTAACTGCCCATTCACAATGGACATAAGGCATAACAAGTACATAAAGCTTACATAAATACATAAAGTTGAAACGATGGAAAACGTGTACCCCTGTTCACAGTGGACGAACGTAATTCTTATGCTTATGAACGTTTTATGTAATCCTTGTGTGCGTACACAAAGTTGAAATAAGTTCAACTTTGTGCACGAATTATGTCAAAATTATGTTAAAATCTAGGGACTTTTGAATGCTGCTATTGAATTCCCTTTGACAGTTGGCACTTGGCACTTCACACCTTTGATTATATTATATAAATTATAATCAAAGCTTCACACTGCGAGTCTGTTCTGTACTGCAAGTTGTCAAGTTCGAATATCGTATGAAATTGTAGGTTAGATATTTTGATTGACTCAGTTTGAGGTTAGCCGTTTCTATGTTTAGCCGGGAGTTATTCCGTTCTGCGTTTGCGCAGTTTAACAATTCTTACAGAGTTCACTCTGTCCACTGTGAACGTAGATAAGCATAAGCCAGACACAAACCAAAAACGTAAATTATGTTATGCGCTCGTTCTTATGTCTTATGACCATTGTGAATGGGCAGTAACCATTTTAGATTTTTAAATAACCATTAACAGTCTTAAGACAAATCTAAAACAAAATGTTCACACTAAACACGAGATTAAAAGCGGAAATGACAAAAACAGAATCGTACGACACTGATCAGTGCTGGCTTGATAAAATTATTAAAGTAAGCATGCGTGGTGAAGCGCGCGCAAATTGAAAAGGGCAATTGCACTGGTGCCAAAAGTTTACATTGCCGAGATACGGCGCACTCCCTCCTTTATATTCCTTTCTCCATGTTTTGGAGCAACTATAAGAACGGAGTGGCAAAAATGAATGCATGTAATTAAATCCAACCGTTTACGTTGAAGCAGTGCGATAAACGAATGGTTTTTTGCGAGCAGTGATAAGAGCGAAGAAAATACAATTTGTCTTTTTCTTCGCTTTGATTCTTAGCTCCCACCACGCTAGTCCAAACTTTTTGACTACAAACAGCATGGACGTCGAAGCGTTAAGCGCTGATCCAACATAATCGAAGGTAGGTACGAGTATATGTTGTCATTCACATGTATGAAAAATTCTGTCGGTGTCTTCTTAGATCCGGATACAAATGGTGAAATTCTCCACACTGGTAACTTTTTACATTTATGGGATGTACAACATATTGTCGTCTTTGTTTTAGACGACTATTTAGGTACCGTTTTTCGGCATTCGACATGAGTAGGTAGTACATCACCGTCATCTTTTAATAAGAAACTTGTATCCCCCATTTTTCCTCATTCGCTTTGTACAACACCTATACTGTACAGATAGCAAACCGACAACAGCATATCTCCGCTCTTATCGTTTATTATCATAGCTCCAACACACCAACGAAAAGGTCATTTTAGGATCTTTTCTCTGCGCTCTTATCGTTGTTCTCTTCGCTTTTATCGTTGCTCCAACATAAACAGATCCTTACGGGAACAACTGCCACTTTCGTTACTGGTATACTGTGATCTGGCTGGGAACAATTTAGGGACAAGTTCATATTTTAATGTTTACCGATAATTGAGAACTGTCATGTGTCAATCCGGTTATGTTAAGACACACAAATAATCTACTATTATTTCAGAACTTGCATACATATCTGTATCAACATTCGTGCTCAATTCTCACAAAATTGTAAAAACTAATTCTTTCTCCAACTATGACAAAAGTATGACATTGTTTAACTGTCAACTGTCTGTAAAGTTGACGTTCCCGTTACTAGGAAAAAAATTGGCTACATTTTCTGCTGGGACTAAAAATAGTAGATTGTTTTATTAGGATTAAAAGTGCCATTTTTTGCGACGAGCAAATTTTGCATTTGCGAGGCGGAGCGAAGCGAAGCCGAGCGGATGCAAAATTGCGAGTCAAAAACTGACTTTTAATCCGAATGAAACATACTACTTTTTCGCCAGCCAAAAAGTAAATCTCAAAAATACAAAATATTGATAACAATAATATCGAGCAGAAATGAATCAATCTGCAAAGTAGTCTGGTATCCACGTCGTCAAGGCTTTTTTTGTTTGCTTACATACCATTGTTTTGTGAAAACGTTTGCAGTGTTAATAATGAATCCTGAAGAAGAGTTACCTCCCGATGTGCTAGAAGAAGCACAAAACGTGGTACTGAACTTGTTACCAACAAAATCGCGCGAAGTGTATGAGTGCGCGTATACCCGCTTCATCAAATGGTGCGAAGGGAAAAAGATTCAAACTTATTCTGAGAACGTCCTATTGGTATATTTTTCCGAATTGGCTACAAAAATGAAGTCATCCACACTGTGGTCGCAGTATTCCATGGTGAAAGCAACTTTAAATATAAAAAATGGCATAGAAATCGGAAAGTATTCAAAATTAAAAGCGTTTATAAAGAAACAAGGAGAAGGATACGTTCCAAAGAAATCAAGGGTTTTAACTAATGAACAAATAGAAGTTTTCTTAGACACGGCTCCGGATTTCAAATTCCTGATGATGAAAGTATGTTTATAACCTAATGAAGAGCTTATATTTATTTTACGAATTTTTTTCAGATTGTTGTAATCTTTGGCGTTAGCGGAGCTTGTCGGTGTCACGAACTATTACAAATAAAAACTGAAGATATTGAAAATATTAAAGCAGGTTTATTGGTAAAAATTCCTGATACCAAAACGAAAAAACCCAGATCATTTACGGTTATGGGGGAAAAGTATTTGAAATTTTACGAAAAGTATGTTGCGCTTCGTCCAAAAATGTTTAATGAAGGTCGGTTTTTTATTAAATATGGCGACGGAATGTGCCATCGACAAGTAGTTGGCATTCATAAAATTAGTGGTGTACCCCAAGAAGTAGCCAAATATTTAAAGCTAGAAAACTTTAAAGAATACAGCGGACATTGCCTACGTCGGACTTCTGCCACGCTTTTTGTGGATTCTGGCGGTGATATTACGTCCCTCAAGAGGCACGGTGGGTGGAAATCTGACAGTGTAGCCGAAGGTTACATAGAAGAGTCTCTTAAACACAAAAAAGATGTAGCAAAAAAAATTTTTCGTTTGGAAGAACCAGGTACAAGTAGTGAAACCACAAGTAAAATACATGAAGACGCAACGAATAGGAATGTGAGCGAAGTAAACCTAGAAGAATCAGGTACAAGTAGTGGAACTACGAATAGAATGATCACACGTGAAGACGGAATAAGTAGGAATGTGGGAGCAGTAAACCTGAATTTTGACACTGTGACCAACCAGACAGCAGGAGCGGTAGAAGTGTTAGCGCAAAATATTATTACTGACCGCATGAAAAATGATAATAGTGACGGAAAATCTTTAATCCAAATCAATCGCAGTTGTTCTTATTGTACATTCAATATTAATTTTAAAATTTAAATAATTAATAACAATGTAAGTTAATAATAAAATTGGAAAATATTAATAGCATTTCATTCTCAAAATAAAACTATTGAAAACTTTTTAAGGCTAGGATGAAAAAAAAAAATTAATGCTAGGATTAAAAAGGCAAAAATGACGTTGTTACTTTAGTAACGCAACTTTTTTTTACTCTCACAAAAACGTCAAGTTTTCCGTCCAAAATTGACGTTAAAAGTGACATCTTTTAAGACGGCTGGCGAAAATAGTAATTTATAATCCTAGTAGAAAACATATCTAATTTTTTATCAAAAGAATAGAGAATGAAATCTGAAATTGTTTATTTAGATTAATATTAAATGTACAATTTGAACAATTTAAAGATAAATAACTCTCAGAACTAGAATTTGTGTAATTCTTGGATTAGTCCTCAACATTTTCATCAATTATTAAATTACTGATAGAAGTATCAGAGGAAATATTTGCATTTTGTAGAGAATGTAAAGTTTCAGTAGTGTTAGAACAAGTCGCAAGCATTTTGAACTGAAATGGTTGTGACATCAGAAGATACCAGCATTGTGAATTTATCACATAGCAATATTTTCTAATCGTTTCTTTGTTGAAACGGGATTCGTCAATATATCCCTCTGCAACTGTGCTGGATCTCCAAACTCCGTGTCTTTTAAGGCACGTCAGGTCACGCCCTGTGTTCGTGTCAGTTCTTTGCATTGAATGTCCTGTGTATTCTTTTCAATTTTCTAGTTTTAAGAATTTTGCGATTTCCTAAAGCACGGCACTGATTTTGTGTATACCGACCACTACCCGATGACATTTTCCACTAGTATATTTTAAAAACAATCATTGTTCCTCATTGTTTGAAAGCCGCAGAGCAACATAGTTTCGAAAAAACCGTAGATAATTTTCCCCCAAAACAATAAATGAACGGGACTTCTTGGTTTTAGTTTGATGCACTTTAACTAGCAAGGCTTATTTTACATCCTCAATGTCATTCATTTTAACTGACGAATTCCTCGCAACAACATCCGCCCGCAATTCCTAATTTTGCGCTGCATTTAGAAAATGAACCACTTGCTCTTTGGTAAATACCTTGGGCTTCTTTGTTTGATAGTTCTCACTTTGTCTTTTCAGGATTTAGAATATTTGCTTAAATCCACTGCGTTTTTTATATCCAACGTTGACCTTAACATTGAACATTGTGCCTAAAGACTTGATGGTCTCATTTTAGTCGATAGATTAGAAAAATATACCATAAGAACACTGTATAAGATCGTCGATCTTTTTCTTTGCACTAATCCGTCTATAGGTAAATTCATTAATTTCACGAGACTTTGATTGAAGCAAATTCAAACAAACTTCTTTTGCACAGTCAAATATATCTGCAGGTACATCTAGATCTTCATTTGATTTCATTTTTATGAAAATTTCATAAACTCAAGACTAATCTATATCTATATTATATATGTATTGTATATAAAAGGCAATGTCCCGACTGACCTATCAACGCCCAGCCCAAACCGCTAATGCTAGAAAGTTGAAATTTGGAGAAAATGTTCTTTTTATACTGGAGGCATGGTTTAAGAAGGGATTTCTCGAAATTCATTCCCTAAGGGGGTGAAAAGGGGTGATAAAATTTGTATAGGACCAATATGTCTACTGTAAATTTACATTGTTAAGTGAAACTTGGTATTAATTCTCTTCAGTACAAATAATGAAACACATTTAAGCATCTTCTGATACTCAACCCCTAAGGGGGCGAAAAGGGGTGTGTATTGGCAAACATATTTTGATGGTATTGTATTTAAGCATTTTCGGAGATTCGACCCCTAAGGGGGTGAAAAGTGGTGTCTAAGTTTGGGCGACTAAGTTTGTATAGGAACAATATTTCTACTATAAATTGAAATTTTTACGTGAAACTAGGTACATACTAATGTTCTTCAACACAAATAATAAAACCCGCATTTAAGCATTTTCTAAAATTCAACCCGAAAGGGGGTGAAATGTGGAGACTAAGTTTGTATGGAAAAATATTTCTATTGTGTATTTACATTTTTATCTGAAACTTGGTATTGATGCTCTTCAACACAAATAATGAAACACGTATTTGAGCATTTTCCTAGATACAACCCCTAAGGGGGTGAAAAGTGGTGGTTAAGTTTGTATGGGACAAGTATTTCTATTGTAAATTTAAATTTTTACGTAAAACTTAGTATTAAATTAATGCTCTTCAATACAAATAATGAAACACGTATTTCAGATTGATTCGAGATTCCATACCTAAGAAGATGAAAGGGGGTGACAAAGTTTTTATGAACAAAATTATTTTTATGTCGACTTTTACTGGAAATTGTTTTAACGCCATTCAACATATTTTTTACTTGAAGGTTGGTAATAATGCTCTTCAACACAACCAATCGTCTACGCGAGCGAAGCCGCGGGCGAAAAGCTAGTATGGAATATGTCTGAAAACGTTTGACAAATATTTGCAAGTATCCATAACTATATCTGTTCTGGCTACTCGTTTTAAAATTCAATTTAATTTTAACCGAGCGAACAGGGCTAAACCTCCCGTTTCCAAAATTTTTTATCTCGGTTGGAGAAAAAATAACATATATTATTCGGATTAAAACTGACATTTTTACTTCCCGAGCGTAAGCAAAGGAAGTATTGTAATCGAGTCCGTCGGCTGACTCTCTACTTTTACGTTTTCTCGATCTTTCATGACCCCTAGAAGACGAAGAAATAGGTCTCCCATTTCCGTCTGTCTGTCCGTCTGTCCGTCCGTCTGTCCGTCCGTCTGTCCGTCTGCCGTCCCGGATTTTTATTAGACAGATAATCTCCGAAAGTACTCGACCGATTGTTGTGAAATTTTGTACTTATATTAAGAATATCATGTAGATGGTAAAACGCTAACCAAAATTTGTCTAATCATCCCCACCACTAATGCGAAATTGTACATAGTAAATGGGTTTTCAATTGTATAAAATAACATAGTCCTACACAAGTGGTTTACAACTCTGAATCGACTTTTCACCCGAAACGTCCAGATTTTTGGAAAAAAAATCAAAATTATAAAACAACATTTTGAAATTTAATTTTTAATCTGCTAACCAGCATGCTTTGAAATGTTGCGGATGTTTTAAGGCTATAAAGAGCATCATAAATCTTTAGTCAAAAAATATTTGCTTATCCCCTCCAAAAACTTGATGACGTCAGCTCAAAAGTTTGTGGAATAAATCAAATATAAAATGTACAAAATATGATGAGTCTGTACTTGTGATCTATCACTCCATTCATATTTTTTGGATTTGCATATACAGGGTGACTCAAAAAAATTAATGAATGCGTAAATTTATTTTACTGATTTACTCAGAAACTACAAAACCGAATGCTTTGAAATCCTGCAGATGTTTTAAGGTTATAAAGAGCATAATAAATGTTTAGTCAAAATATATTTGCTTATCCCCTCCAAAAAATTGATGACGTCAGCTCGAAAGTTTGCCGAATAAATCCTATCTAAACTGTAAAAATATGATGAGTCTGTACTTGTAATTTATCACTCTATTCATATTTTTTGGATTTGCATATACAGGGTGACTCAAAAAAATTAATGAATGCGTAAATATATTTTATTGATTTAATCAGGAACTACAAAACGGAATGCTCTGACATCTTGCAGATGTTTTAAGGTTATAAAGAGCATAATAAATGTTTAGTCAAAATATATTTGCTTATCCCCTCCAAAAACTTGATGACGTCAGCTCGAAAATTTGCCGAATAAATCATATCTAAAATGTACAAAATATGATCAGTCTGTACTTGTGATCTATCACTCCATTCATATTTTTTGGATTTGCATATACAGGGTGATTCAAGAAAATAAATGAAAGCGTAAATTAATTTTACTGATTTACTCAGGAACTACAAAACCGAATGCTTCGAAATCTTGAAGATATTTTAAAATTATCATAAGCATGGTAAATTTTTGATCAAAATGTATTTGGTCGTCCCCCCTAAAAAATTTATGACGTCACCACAAAATTTTGCCGAATAAATCCTATCTAAAATGTACAAAATATGGTGAGTCTCTTCTTGTGATTTATCATTCCATTCAAATTTTTTCGATTTGCATATACAGGGTGACTCAAAAAAATTAATGAATGCGTAAATTTATTTTATTGATTTAATCAGGAACTACAAAACTGAATGCTTTGAAATCTTGCAGATGTTTTAAGGTTATAAAGAGCATAATAATTTTTTAGTCAAAATATATTTGGTTGTCTTCTACAAAAAACTGATGACGTCAGCTCAAAAGTTTGCCGAATAAATCGTATCTAAAATGTACAAAATATGATGAGTCTGTACTTGTGATTTATCATTCCATTCATATTTTTGGATTTGCATATGCAGGGTGACTCAAAAAAATTAATGAAGGCGTTAATTTATTTTATCGATTTAATCAGGAATTACAAAACCGAATGCTTTGAAATCTTGGGAATATTTTAAACTTATTATAAGCATGGTAAACTTTTGTTCAAAATGTATTTGTTCATCCCTCCTAAAAAAATTGATGACGTCACCCTTAAATTTTGCTGAATTAATCCTATCTAAAATGCAAAAAATATGATGAGTTTGTACTTGTGATTTATCATTCCATTCATATTTTTTAGGTTTTCTTAAGAGGTGGTTCAAAAAAATTAATGAAGTCAATTTATTTTATTGATTAAATTAAAGGCAACACTTATTATTAGTATTACACCCCAACCAACCCAATTTGGTAGACACAAAATTTGTTAAAGGAAAAACTCGGTTGAAACATAAGGGTAGCACGCTTATTTACATCGACTTTAACATTACAGACCTGCATTTGTTTTATGCGCTCACTTGGTTCCGCGAATGTGAAGTAGACATGTTTATAATCAACCAATTGTGAATTTCACCGTCAAGAATTAAAATAAAACCCAATGTTTTATATAATAAGCGGAAGTCGAAGCAATAAAACCGATGGTCGTTTTGTTTACAGTTTCTCTGTTTGACTCTCACGTATGC